TAAAAAATAACCCCAAGAATATTATGACCTTATATTGTTTTACCTGTTTAGCTGAGTTTTAATAATTTAGAATATGCAAAATCTTGTGTTGGTGTAAGAATAGGATTATTCTGGAATTCTCATGCCAGAAGTGACTTTCTTTCTCATATCAAACCAGCAGCAGTGTGTCTGTAGAAGGCCTCACAATCACAACCCCTCTGTATGGTTTATGTCATGCAGTATGTTTATTTTTTTATTCATCAAGCTAAAAGCTCAGGGAGATTGAAAATCGCTTTCAAGAGTTATGAGGCCAAAATGGTAGCAGAGATTGTAAAAAATTTAAAATAAGCCAGCGCACAAACACAAATCTCAAACAGTTGCAGTACAATTATGAGTTAACAGGTTCAAATCATACAAAAACAACAACACAACAAAACAATGAAGTTTCAGATGAATTTCAAACCAATTTCAAGAGCGATCTCAATGACCAGCTATTTGATCCTCTAAATGGACTTCAACTCCTCCATATTAACCAGTTCTGATCCTTTCAGGTCTCGGTCTGTTTTTCATTCTGGAAACAAATAGTTTGTCTGATAACCGATGGATAGCACTAATTTTGACTAAGTGCAACTTGCAACTTCTTTTTTGTTATTTGCAAACGCATGTTGGCATCAATGTTGGCATCAACAATGAAATTAATTTCATCTGAAATAAAAAATACATTTGTAATTAGTAAAATTAGTAACATTTTGTGATTATTAAAAGTCTTAAAAGGGAAAACTGCCTATAAGAGTAAATAACGTGCAAAATTGGAACCAAACTTTATGACTCTACTGACTGATCATAAACAATATCTACCAAGTCATCTATCCATTTTCTGGACAGCTTAGCTAATTCAAGGTCATGGGTGGGCTGGAGCCCATCCCAGCTGTCAGAGGTGTGGTACACCGTGGACAAGCTGTCAGGCCGTCACACTGATAACACAGAGAGGCAGACAACCATTCACAAATTGGCAGTTAACCTAACACGCATGTCTTTGGGACAAGTGGGAGGAAGCTGGATTATTTGGTGAGAATCCAAGCCCACAGCTGCTGATTTAAACCCAAGACCCCTTTGCGTTGAGGTAACAGTGCTAACCACAGCACCACCATGCTGCATAGAAAATACTGAATATAACTTTTTTTTAAATTTATTTTTTTACCGTGATTGAAGCCACAAAAAGTCAGAACAAAAACTAACAAAATGAAACCAAAATGAATTCAGAAATTAAAAAACAAACAAAAAACATGTCTTACCAAGTTTCAGTTCATCACAATGGTTTTCCGTTATGTTTTTGTTCTCCTTCATAGGTTTCCTGGTGATCACTGTGAGAATGTAGTTTGTATGATTTCCATAAGTCATTTGACAGCTTCCCTTTGTTTCAGTATTGTTGAAGGGGATGTCAACCCAACCTCCTGTGCAGTTCTTTCCATCTGACATCATCTCACAACCTGAAGACAAAAATTCAAATTATGTAGGTCATTTAACAAAACAAATAAGCAAATTAATCGATCAATTGGGAGCACAGTTCTTCATCCAACAGCCTTCAGATACTTTATTAGCAGAGCATGCTGTAAAACATTGCTGTTTTTATTTTTACTATATAGGTTTGATGCTGTGACCAGTTAGTATTTTTGTTATGATTCAAAGTGTCACTACTGCAAAAGCGAACTTCTGCTTCAATACATAATGTTACAATTAATTATTATCATTATTATAGTTGTTTTTCACAGTTGCTAACAAAATATGCAGTACATGTGAAAAAGCATTTGCATGCTTCCAGATTTCTAAGGTTTTTGTTTTGTTTGTTTTTGAATGGATTGGTTTAGTCATGTTATACGTGCATACGGTCAGAAGGAAGTCCCACTGTTGTAGTTGTGCAAAATCAAGCATGTAGGCATGCAGACTACAAAGGTTTGTAAAAGAATGTGTCACTGAATTCAAATGAGGCACTGTAATAGGATGCTACTGTAAGTTTATGAAATTTCATAGTTAATGAAACTTTTTCCTTCTTAGATATTCACAACAACTGTAAATGGTATGATTGCTCATAAGTTTTGAAGCAGAGTCACTACGTCGCTACGTCAATGAAAGTTTCCAACACCGTACTAACTCAATAAGTGAGGACTTCCAGACATCTTCTGGCATTAACATCTGCACAAAAACTGTGCACTGGGAGCTTCGTGGCATGGGTTTCCATAGCCGAGCAGCTCCTGTGGGTGTAATGTGAGGGTGGCTTTTTTTTTTATCCATATAGCTTAGGTCTTATACGCTGTCAGTCCTTATCTCTTCTAAATGACATTATTAATCCCTGTGTCACTTTTTAGACCCGTTTCATGGTCACTGATGTCATGGTGGAAAATATGACATGGCATTTGATTTAATTCTACCATAAACACATTAGTGAAACTTTAAAGTAATGTGAATAATCATGATCATCTGTCATAATGTAATGTTCTTAAAAAAGAAAGAAAAGTCATGGGTAACATTGTAGTAACATTCAACATTAGAAGAGTGAAAATGGCTCTTGGCTTTTAAAATCTGGGAGAATTCAGTAACAGCAAAGATGTGGCAGAGGTACAATTTTAAGAAGAAAGAAGCCTTTCATTGTTATACTGTGTCGTAAAAACCTAAACAGCAACAAGGTGTGCAAATTAGCTGTGGCCAGAAGTTCTATATGATTGCATCTGTTGCATTTAGTTTAAATGCGACAATGTTAATACATACAGTCCCTGTTGTGTAAATATATGATGTACAAAATACATACTGCAATACCTATTTTAATCATATTCAACATTAATTACAGTATAATGATTAGTGAATAATATCAATTAGGAGTTGGTCATAGTCTTATTACCTGTCATCATTGAGAAGATGAGTAGTAGCACTGATGTCATCATGTTGGTTTTAGTCGCTTCTTTAAGATCTTTAAGTCTAAATTATTAACCTGCAGTTAGTTTGCTTTTGTTAGCCTGTCTTGCCTATCTGTGGGGCTCTGGTGATTCTTGATTTTTTTTTCCCATCCCATCTTATGTTACTAAAAATGTACTTGCCCCGCCTTTCTGACCACAAATTCCCCCTCCCCATTTCTTTAAGGTTATTTTCTTTATCATACTTACATCATCTTATTTGCAGTAGAGAGGAAGCAAGTGGTTTGTGTGAGTGTGAGAATGACAATAACACTGAACAGGAAGTCAGAGTCTAACAGATATATTTATTTGATAATATAATAGAAAAATACTTATAAAGAGAAGAGTCTCTTTGATCTGCACACTTCCTAAACTGCAAATTGAAACTGGACAGCTCAGCGCAAATGTTGAAATCCAAGAAAATGATCTGAATTCTTCTATGCTTGTTTTGTACATTTGATGCATTTTGGATAGAGATGGTTATATATTTAAAAAGTTTGCTTTGGCTCACTGACTGTTGAGTGGAGATTCTTCTCTGTTTGTCCGGGTGGTTGATTGACAGTTGGTTTGGTTGGACATTCATCTGACCGCTTTTTAACTGAGGAAATAAGTCCCTAACATGGTTGCTGGGGAAGTATAAATCAGTATGCCTTATTACAGGCAGTGTATACATAAAAATTTTCACACTGGCTTCGTTGATGTGCTTTGCTGCAGTGTCAGCTCCTGTGTTGTTTGAACATGAAAATTCTGGCAAAAGGGAGAGAGCTAACAAGCATGTTAGCATTCAGTAGCATTTGTGTGATTGGTAGTTTGGTTTTATTTGATTTCATTCAATAGACATTTACCAGATATGACACAGATTTAACAAATGTGACCAGGAAATCTGAAAAACATTTATATTCATATGCATCATGCACTATATCTGTGACACTTTAGATATCAGTAAGACTGAAGAATGATACTTTGGTACAACAGTATCAGACAATATTTGACACTGAGTGGGCATGTGTTCTTACTGCATTTATTCCTTTTGGATTACTCAAATGTACTAAGGTGTCACTGTGGCTTAAGGTTTGTGATTTCGACCATAAGCTATGACCTAAATCTTTGCCTTAGATCTATATACATTCAAAAGAGTGTTGAGAGAATATCATACAAGTTGCAGCAGGCCTCTTTTTAGGAAGTATTCTTTGATATGTCATACACACACACACAGAAAAGAGCACAGGTGTAACTGGTAATTTAGATGGCTGCCTTCCATCTGGGTGAACTGGTTTGAATAAAAGTCATTGCAGTAAACACGCTGAATCACCTTCATTGCATAGCCAGTTGATAGAGCTGAGTCATTGTTAATGAAAACCTTTTTTAACTTTGTTTTTCTGGATATGACAAATCACTTTTTTTCTGGTATAAACACTCTCAACTGTTCATGTGCCTTAAAGTACCAGGAAACGAAGGGAGGCATTGATAACATCATACACCTGAGCTTTTCCTTTGACAATAATTGTAAAACTAACTTTCTCACAGGGCCCAGTAGATGTGATTAATTTTACTTGGAAGAAACGTTTTTCCAGTTACGCTTACATTGACGAATAAGGTTCTGAACTCTCAGAGACATCCTGCTGAACAAATGTCTGTCAGATGCATCTATTGCAATTATTACTCAGTTTATTTCCCATTCAGTTGTAGTTTAACTCAGTGGAATCAGTGGGTCATCATGCAATGACTACATTTAATAGGCAGTAAACAAGATAGTAACTCATAAAATGCACCCAATGTGGAATAACTTTTGTAGACGTTAAAACAAATTTAAAAAACCCTCTAAAATGTATTAAGAAATCTGAATTTCTGTTTGAAACTTGGAGCTTTCGCACTCCACTTTCTAAATTCAGCACGCGAACAAGGTTAGTTCGATTATTCTCACTGAAACAATGCACATGGGCGGGGTCTAATAGTTATACTTGGTTTTATATTTTAAAAACCTGGTTATTACCCTTTTTATGAATTTAAAGCGCAGTAAATCAAGTGACCTCGCGGTCTCCGCAGATAGGAAGATGACCAACGTCGCTGAGGGGTAGGTTTAAAATTTCGCGGCGCACCCTCTCGCCGCTCTCTGGTGACTGCTGAACGCCGCCCGCGTTTCGCCATTTTGAAAGTGCTGTAAGGAGGCAGAGGCGAGGGAACTCTCAAAGTAGAGTGCAAAGTCTACAAGCCAATAGTGGGCATTATTAATTACTTTGTGGAAAACAGTTCCGTGCTGTATAGCAGGGCCGAAGACTTTTGCTTACGTTCTTCGGAGTACCAAGCAGCACTCCCGGCTTCATTCCTGCACTGCTCCTCGCTAGAACCTCCCAGCCGACCCGGGTCAGCACTGTTCCAGTCCAGGGCCCGAGCCCGCTTAGATACCCCTCTCCGAGTCGCTCACCATGGCAGGTAAAACCACAGGGGAAAAGACTACCACAGTGCCGCCTGGGGTTATTAATTAACAGGTGCTGACCTGTTTGACAACGATGATGGGTTTCTCTGTAATATCATGTTTAACCAGCGCAAGCTAGCTAGCGAGCTAGGGTAATTCAAAGATGCCAGTGTAAGTCAGTGTTAGTGTTAAAGTGAGCGAGATTCTCCACAAACACACGTCAAGTAGTTATCTGTGCCTATGAGTTTATAGCAGCAGTTGCAACGCAGTTACTGTGAATTTCCTTAAGGCCTCGTTGTCATATTGATGTTTTTAGCTAAGTTAGCTGCAGGCTAACGCGTGTAAAGTTGTCTCTCTTTAATGGTGGTGTGTCCAATCTTGGGGTCATGTTGTGTGCAGGGCCCGGTGGTGGGAGCAATGATGTGCAGTGGTGCTTCTCCCAAGTCAAAGGAGCAATAGATGACGACGTCGCTGAAGGTAAGTCCATGTGATAGTCACTGAACACTTGCTAGCCTGAGCTGCCAGGATCACCATCCTGTGCACGCTTGTTTTAGGCTTTGCTTCAAAGCGCTGCTGCCACACTTTATATTTGTGGTATTTCTAAATATGCAATGAAAAGTAATGCCGCCTTCTTCTTTTTTCTTTCTTTCTTTTTTTTCCAGTAATAATGGGTATAAGGGATCAGTGGTGTGGTATTGTAGTCCATTTGGTTTCTCACAGACTGACAACAATCTTCTATTTTTGGCATAATTGCTGCAAAATGTCAGCATTCACTATTTTCTCAGTTCAGCCTGGGTATTAGTGGGGCATTACACAATGTTTACATAATTGGGAGAGAACTGCATGTTAGAATTGAAAAAGATTTTACCTCTGCCAGAGAAGAATATTTAATAGGTGTTTCATATTTGTTAAAGAAGTAGCACTTACGTTTGACTAATTACAGAGCTGTTTGAGTGGCCAAGTTAAAAGAAAACCTTTACCAGCTAATTATTTCCGAACTAAAGGAAAACTCAAAGCACCAAAAGTGTGTTTACAGTACATGGTGGCCGTATTTATGCATTAAGGGCTACACATTTGTTTACAGTAAGCTTTGTCTGGGAACATGTATAAATGAGAGCCTCTCCTTGTGTCAATACATAGGAGTACATGGGCTCAAAACACAACACTCCAGTAACGTTTTTATTAGTTTCCTGTAAAAAAGGATTCGCCTTCAGTCTGTCTGCTATTGTTTTATGGGGTTGCATGGAGTCGGGTCGTATCAGGCGCACACTGTCGATGTTAACGACTGCACTAACTCAGAATAGTGCCAGTGTGTAAGCGGGGATTGATTGTTGTATTGTAGGACTTTGTGAGAATGGTTCTCTTTGAAAAGTGCTAAATAGCTGAAGATGGAAACTTTTTTTCTGTTCTTTTTTCCTTTGTGTCCTAAGATTGTTAAGTGTGTGTGTATAAATATGTGTGCGTCATTGCTGTGTTGTGTTTTCACCATGGTTGACATGATTTTCACCCCTCACAGGTGGGCTGCTGAGGCATTTTGTAAATCACTTCCCATTGAAAGGCAATGAATCGTTTAGACAGCAAAAGCCTCGTAAAACACTCAGTGTTATTGCAGTAAACCTGTCTCAGATTGACAATAGCGTTCATCAGAAACTCTGGCAGAAAATGTGTGGTTATTTATATTTGACGCTAGTCTCATTTTTGCAATTTTTATTATTGACAGCCGATATCATATCCACTGTTGAATTTAACCAATCTGGAGAGCTACTTGCAACTGGGGACAAGGGGGGTCGTGTTGTCATCTTTCAGCAGGAGCAAGAGGTATGTTTTAGTGACACATAGGAACAGTAATTATTTTTAACATTTGATTCATAATACTCCAAAGCAGGTAGGTCATCAAACTCAGTTTATATAACACAAAGGCGTACAGGTACAATGTTTCTAGTGATCTTGACCCGAGACATTGAATCTTGGTTTCATAACACTTGAACTTTTGTTTGATCTGTTTTGTATTTAGAGTAAGAATAAGCTTCAGTGCCGAGGAGAGTACAATGTTTACAGCACCTTCCAGAGCCACGAGCCTGAGTTTGACTACCTGAAAAGTCTTGAGATTGAGGAGAAGATCAACAAGATTCGATGGTTGCCTCAGAAGAATGCAGCACATTTTCTTTTGTCAACAAATGGTTTGTAAATTACTTTCTTTTTGAGTAAATTCTTTTGCTGTAGTAAATGTGAACTTTTGTTACGCCATCTACTGCCTTATATGGGAGTAAATATAACTCAATGACTCTCATGATCTTTGCTCTTTCTCATTGTTAGACAAAACCATAAAGCTGTGGAAAATTAGTGAGCGTGACAAAAGACCAGAGGGCTACAATTTGAAGGAAGAAGATGGGCAATACAGAGATCCCAACACTGTCACTACACTACGGGTGTGTATAACTGGCTTTATTACAGCCCAGATCTTTTCTTTTTGTTACATTGTTAGCCAAAACTGAGATCCTTTGCTTACTTTCCATTCATTTATAATAAGTAGATCAAGAAAATTAACAGCAAATTAAATATGTTGAGTCTGGTTAGTAATTTACATCTGAATTAATTGGAATAAATGTTAATCATTTCTTTTCCGTGTTTCCTTCCACTCATTACAAAACTGTCCGTTCTATTTTTGATTGAGACGTTGACTTATCTTATGAGCAAGTAAACAGATGGAACTAATAAAATTACCAATCTGTTCCTGCAATTACTGCAGTGCTGCAGTTGATGTAATGTCTGCTTTATTCACCTTTAATTTTCACAGACACCCCCCCCCCCTTTTTTTTTTCTCCTTGTCCTTACTGAATGGTTTCCAAATATAGACTCAGTTCAACAGGTTTGCCTTTATACTGAGGCAAGGCCTTTTATTTGTTTGTTTAAAGAGCAGGTAACTGTCCCCATCTTAAAAATGGGAAAATCTATGTACATTTTCACCTACATCTTTGTGCCTCTTTACCAGGGTAAGAAAAATTATTTGGACACTTTTTAATGTTTTTTTTTTTCTTTTTCTAGTGTGAAATTTGTTTTGTAACATGCCTGTGTGGATATATTAGAGGTAAAACAGAGGTCATAAAATCTACTGCATCTCCCATTAAAGAAATATAAAAACAGCCCCACTTTTGTTTTCAGGTACCAGTATTCAGGCCCATGGACTTGATGGTGGAAGCCAGTCCTAGACGAGTGTTCGCCAACGCGCACACATACCACATCAACTCCATCTCAGTCAACAGCGATTGTGAGACCTACTTGTCTGCTGATGACCTGCGCGTTAACCTCTGGCATCTGGAGATCACTGATCGCAGCTTTAGTATCCTTTCATTCTTTAATTCCATAAAGTACTGCAATAATATAAAATTATTTTGTCAGTGTTTTGTCTTATCTATTCCCAGTTTTATCATTTTTCAAAGGAGCGTAAGCCAGGGACAGAACTTAAAAAAAAATGTATGTGAATGGTATGTGAAATAATGAATGATATGTTGTGGTTAGTTTTAAGCCTTTGTCTGAAGAGATGCCTGATTTATTAATCCTGTTCACCTGCTCACCCCGTGTCAGTCAAATTAGACAAAGACTATGTCTTACTTAGCAACAAATAAAACATGATTCATGTATTTTTATAGGGCATATAAACAATTCTTTGCCTGATATTTAAAAATGTACATACTGTGTTTACAGGCAGACTGGACAAGAGCAAAAAATGATATTCACTGGTGTCTATTTAATCTGTAGCACAGTGTCATTATTTATACTACCACCAGATGTCCCCAAAGCGTGGGATGTTTAACTGGGTGCCTCTAACATGGTCTAAAAAATCACCTCCTACATCCTATGTTAATAATTTCACTCCATGAGTTCTTAATGCGTTGTTCTATGTAGGACAGCGGTCCCCAAACTTTTTTGCGCCACGGACCGGTTTATGCCTGACAATATTTTCATGGACCGGCCTTTAAGGTGTCGCGGATAAATACAACAAAATAAAAGTAGTACCGGTACCGAAAAAAAGATTTATTCATAACACACGTGAAAAGACCCAGGAAAACCAAGTTAACGATAAAAACGATAACAAAATAATGCTGAAAACCGATAAAAACCCTGAAAACCATACATTTTACACCTGAGCCTCTACTCTCGTGGCCCGGTACCAAACGACTCACGGACCGGTCCGAGGCCCGGGGGTTGGGGACCGCTGATGAAGGCTGTATAAACAAAGACGAACCAGAGTTAGATACAAAGTGGAATCATGTTTTTCTTGAATTGAGATTAGTTGCTCTTTCGGGCTGCTCATATCTTCTCTTCATGCTGGAAGATTGATGCAGTGCAACCCCTGCCTTTTATTAAGGATTGCGTCAACTGATGTAAAACACTTGAACCGGAGAAACAATTAATGCAAACTAAATTATGTTAAATGGTTTTATCACTGTAGGCTCATAAGGTCAGAGGTCATCTGTGAGATTAATGTAGCTGTTAAAAGTTGAAAACACATGAGCATGGAATGGAAAGTATTCGCAAGTGAATAACATCTACATGATTTGGGGCACTTTTGTGCTAGTGAGCAGATATCTGTGGCAAAACCTTTTCCATGTGCCAGTCATTGTTTAAAAAAAAATGCAGATAATTAAAAAAAAAAAAGATAAATCATAGTGAAGTTGATGGTCTGTGATTTCAGTGTCTCATAGTGGCAATAGCAGTTTTTATTTTCCTCTGCGCACAGACTGTTTACCTGCAAGCGGTAAAGCCTGCTTAGATGGGTTCTTCAAACTGAGAACATGACTCTGTGAAAAATAATAATACTACTACCAATTAATTTTATTTCTGAAAGATTTTTAAGTTGCTGAAATGTCTGTTCACGTTTTTTTGTTTGCTTGTTGGGGTTTTTGGGTTTGTTTGTTTTTTACCTTAACCTCACCTCTTCAGATATTGTTGACATTAAGCCGGCCAATATGGAGGATTTAACAGAGGTGATCACAGCGGCCGAGTTCCATCCCAACCAATGCAACACTTTTGTCTACAGCAGCAGCAAGGGCACGATCCGCCTGTGTGACATGAGGGCAGCAGCGCTATGCGACAGCCACGCCAAACGTAAGGCGGTCTCTTTTTGTGTTTCTGTAGCTGTTTGACTGTGTGTCTCCTCAAAGATCGATGGGGGGCTCTCATTGAGCCTATCAGTGTAACACTCGATTAATCAGCTGCAGTTATAAAGTTACTCTTGCTATGGACGGTGGCTGACTGGACTAGTGCAGTGTGCTTGAACAAAGCTGACGGTTTGTTGAGAAGAAGACTTGACAAGTGAAAAGTTGCACTGTCGTGAGAGCCTTTTCTTAAAATGAAACAAAGCTGACGTCTTACATGTTGTTTTCTGAAAATATTTTCTTCGATTTTATAACAAAAAAGAAATTGAACAACAAATTGCTTCTCCAATTCTATACAATTCACATGGTAACATAAAATTCACAAATTCACCTAAGAAATAGAAGATCCTTAGAAGATCCTACCTAGTTTCCCATCTACCACATTATGAAATATCCAGGCCATGTGGGTCTTAGTGCATGAGGCTATAAAAGAAGATTTACACACTCTGCTTCCTGCTCACAGCATAGAAAACATAGCGCACGTACGTATAGATTGGTACCTGCTAAGCCAAATTGTTCAGAATGGTGACCCTTATTCATAACGCGTATCAAAAGATAAGCGGAAAGGCTTTGTTACTTTTATGCTCTATTTCTGTGTTTATATAACCAGATTTGAAATTCAGTATCTTTTACAAAGCTGTTGTTATGTAAAGAAAGTTTCGGGGCTTACTGTAAAACAACTCGACCACTGTAAAAATTATTGTTGTTCTTCCAGTCATTGACGCTGAAATGCATGTGTTTGTTCTTAATTTTTTTAAGTGTTTGAAGAGCCTGAAGATCCAAACAATCGTTCCTTCTTTTCTGAAATCATCTCATCCATCTCTGATGTAAAGTTCAGCCATAGTGGACGCTACATGATGACCCGGGACTACCTGTCTGTCAAAATTTGGGATCTCAATATGGAGTCACGACCAGTAGAGACATATCAGGTCTGTTAATTATGCCAACTCAAAAATACTGTTCCAGTTTCTGTATTACTTTTCTTCCTGTAAGGCTAGATTGATTCTAGCAGGTTCCGTCCATCCACGTGATTAAAGTGTAAATGTTGTTTTTGCTTTTGCACAGTTGTTGATGGAAACTCTGTATATTTCCTCATTGCTTTCTTTAAATAGGTGCATGAATATCTCAGGAGCAAGTTGTGTTCACTCTATGAGAATGATTGCATCTTCGATAAGTTTGAATGCTGTTGGAATGGGAACGACAGGTAAGCACTCATTCCGTGGCTTCCTTTTTGTTTTTTTTGTTTTGTTTTTTTCTGCAGCTGTCCTGGACAAACAAAATGCATGCGTGCATGACGCACGCAGAGCGTTAGGGAATACTCCTTTTCTGACGTCACTGAACCCAGAAACGCAGGCCTTATCACTTACTGCAGTTATCTGCTCGGTGCAGACCATAATGTGGCTCATAATTTGGTTTGGGTGGGTGGTGAAGTGGTATAATTGGCTCATGACAGACGACAGGATTTAATGTCCATACTTGAAAAGGATTGTGTTTGCCAGTAACGTTAAGGCTACTCGCTGACTCACACCTTGTTTACCTACAGTGTTGTGATGACGGGTTCCTACAACAACTTCTTCAGGATGTTTGATCGAGGATACCAGCAGGACATGACCCTAGAGGCGTCGCGGGAAAACAGCAAGCCGCGATCGGTCTTGAAACCTCGCAAAGTAAGCACAGGTGGGAAGCGCAAAAAGGATGAGATCAGTGTAGACAGTCTGGACTTTAACAAGAAGATCCTCCACACTGCCTGGCATCCTCTGGACAACATCATTGCTGTGGCCACAACCAACAATCTGTACATATTCCAGGACAAGCTGAACTAGCATTTGTTGAAGCACTGAGGTCCCAGTTTCTGCTTGAGCGCCGCTGCTCTGATATACAAATATGAACAATAGCTGTCTGTTTTTGGCTAAATCCCTCTTGATGAGCTGCCCTTGGCATATGCCAAGAACTGCTATGTCAACAGTGGCATGAACACAGTACACCCAAGTAGGCCATCACAAGCCCATTTTCTATTTGTATTGCAAATATGAACATGTAGGGTTTTTTTGTTTGGTTTTTTTTGTTTGGTTTTTTAAGATCTGAGTCATACAGTGGGATTTAGTGTCATGGGTTTTCTCTGGTTGGAGCACTCCAGTCATCAAGCTACAAATTGCAACTCCACTACATCCCAAACCAAAGGGAAATCTGTTCATACACATGTTTGGTTAGTTTGTTTGATTCTTCTTTTGTGCCATGGTTCATCTGTGTCTCATAGCCACTAGTTATTAGATTATTGTAGCTATTGTGTCTCATTAGTTTTCTGTTGCTCTCATATCATTCAGTCACCACTGGCCTGAAACACTGGTAATGCAAACTGTCGACACTCCATATTTTCACAGTATTTGTCCATTTGCCAAGTTCACTCACCACTTTCTTGCCAATATACAGTATGATTATGCAGTTAAAGGACTCGTTTAGTGTTTTAACCTTTTTTTTTTATGGTTCTATGATTATAGCGTACAGCCTGCATTACTGCAAACATCTGTCCACAGTGTGCAAGATTTAATATTGGATCAGATTTTGACCTTTTAAGACAGCCACTAGTTTACAGTCATTAATATTAACAAAGTCTCCTTCATTTATACCTTTATAGTGAACTTGTTGCTGTTGATTAAATCAAGTTACATTACAGGAAAACTGTTTTCATACTGTAACATTTACCATTTAACAATGGAGACTAAATTCTGTCTCTTTTTTTTTTTTTTTTTTTTTTTTCCAAGTACAAGAAATAACAAAGAACCTGGTTTTTCAAGCTGCACTGAAACCTGAATATATATCCTGTTCCAATCTCGAGCCACTCTCTAAACAACAATCTGACTTTCATGTTGTATTGATGTGGACAATGGTTTATAGTAATAAAAAATATAATTCCAGTTAATAGCCCACGGCTTTAGAAATGCTGGCGCAGTCGTGCAAAATGCACACACACATTTTTCAGGTATTGTGGTTTTATTATGGCTAATTATGCCAAAGTAACCAGTCCTATACTCACTCTGAAGCTACACTCAATTGAAGCCGTTTTGCAGAGAGTAAGCCCCCTTGTCTGACCTCGTCACCCTTGCAAACAAAAGCTCAGGACAAAAGGACACATATAACTGTAACTAACACACACACACACACACACACACACTAGGAAGGGTGTGTGTATAATGGCATTATGTGGCCTGTGGCAACAAAACTAAGTTCTGCTGCCAGCTCTCCCGCTATTTTGTTTGCAGGTTGACCCATGGCTTTACCCTCTGTATCTACTTTCTGTTTGTACACTTTTTTTTTTTTTAATATAATGACATTTTGTACTGTACCTGTTTAAAAATAGATTAATCACTATAGTTGATTTATTTTTGTATAAATTAAGGCAATAGGATTACAGTCTGATCACTGTAGTTTCTTTAGCTGTCTGTCTCAGACTGATTGTAGATGGAAGGTTCCTTGACAGTTGGGTAGCTGTTTTTTTTTGTTTTTGTTTTGTTTTTTGACATACGACTTGGGGACATTTTTTCTCATCCTGGAAGTTTGAAAACTTAAAGAAGCGTTTTCAGGTCTCAGTATCTTTTGAAGTTGTAAGCATTATAATTCTAACTTTTTTGGGGGGGCACACTGTGCATGTAGAGCTTATTTGGATGCCTCAGAGTTGGTTTCTAAAATAATTTGGATCTTAATATTCCACTTACGTGCCATAGTTTTTGATTAATTTTATTTTATTTGGCTGTGAAAGAATAGGCCCTTCTGGGTCTCTATTTGAAAGGCATTTTAATCAATGTTTATTGCTTAAAACTGTTTAGTCAACTTCTCTAAAGTTACTGATTTAGATTTATGAAAATGTCTCCTCCCTCCTGTGAAGCACGTGTCGCTTTGCTATACAGGCTTGTTTATTTATCAAGGAGAAATTGTGAAGCACTCAGTTTGCCGATGATTGTTATATGGCAGGGTAGTTAATGAGACATCAGGTGTAAGTGTTGTTAATATTAGCTGCACTGGGAAACCTAATGAAAGCTGAGCTGTCACTAAGTTGTTTGTCCTGTTGTTTTTCTTCTATTGAAAGTCAAATGTCATATCAGGAAGAAGATTTAATCTGTTGATGTGCAAACAACTTGATTATAGCACAATTTGTCCGCTTCATGATTTAAGCCATTAAATCAGGGAATGAAGCTTCTTGGTCCACTGGATGGTATTTGTTTCAGTTCGTGTGTTACTTTTATTTTAGAGAACGGATATCCAATCGCTAGAATGACAACAAAATAACCACCCATGTCCATACGGTGGTGTTAAACTACTGTTTTGTGTGTGTGTGTGTGTGTGTGTGTGTGTGTCTCACTCAGGGCTCTGGGTAATGTCTACTAGTGCTGAGGTATTTCACTAATCTTTTTCCCCTCACACTATGTGAGGGTCATTTGTGTCATACAGCTCCAGTCACTTGAATAAACCTTCATAATGTGCCCATTCCCAAGTCAAGGATCCCATAAATTAACACATAATTACAGTAGCTATTTTTCACAACTGTGGTTTAAATCATGATGATATTCAAAGGAACCCTATTGCCTTTCTTAGAGCATTAAGAATAAATGAGATAATCAAGTCATGTTTCTTGAAATTTATGATGTGCCAGACAGGTGACTGCTCAGGGGAATTTACCGCTGCTCTTGATCAAAACGTACCTTCAAGAAAGCAGCTTTTCAGGACTCAAGACAAAAACTGCCTTATTTAAAGGTAGCTCATAACTTTTTCTTTTTTTAAAAATAAAATCAAACATATGTAATGGCTTTTGAACAACACCCTGGGAAACCAAACCTTCCCTACTTGTTGTCTGGAGTTGTAAGGTTTTCTCAGTTGCAGCAGTGTATTATACATGTCTGATATATTACAGGAGTTAAAACAAATTGCACTTTTACCTTTGTGAATTTCATTAATTTGTATGTTCTGTTTCTTGAAAATGGCCTCTTGAATAAAGATTGTAAGAGTTTGGTGATCTATGGGGTGGGGGGGGCTACAAAGGGTTCAGTGTACAGCTATGTCCTTGTCACATGGAATAAAGTACAATTTAGATGAAAAATAATAAAGAATTTTCAACCTGAATTCTGAATGTAATGACTGTTTTTTTTTGTTGTTTTTTTTTATTTTGGATTAGACACTGAGGGCATTTCAGGATTCTGTAAGGCTTTTAAATGCTAAACTAAGCTTTGCATGTTGTCTTAAAAAAGACTACACCTTTCCTCTTATTTTAAATAAATTATCTTTTTAATAATTTTTTAAAAAACCTTTTAAGAACAAAGCTGTTACTTCAAAAAACATTTTTCAACTGGAAAGATGTGAGATGAATGTCTGCATACCTGATCTAAGGATTACACACCTCTGATGAGTTGCTATCGTATTATATATTATTTTCTCTATTGGTGTGAAGTTTAATGAAAACAGCATGAAACTGCTTTCTCTACCTCAGCGATGTCAAACTCCTTTTACATCATGGGCAACGTATACTCCACTTTACACTGACACAAAGGGAAGTTTCAAAGAACTCTAGCTACACATTTAATCCCCCAAATATCTTAATATAAGAAAAAGGCAGGTAATTTCAGCACATCCCACTTTTTCTGCAAGGTAGTATATAATAGAATTACTGTCCCGTAATTATAAACCAAAGAAAAAGGACTGAAAATGCTTTTTTTTTTTTTTTAAAACAAACCCAAACATCTATATTAGTAATTACCTTTGTGTGTTATGAATGGCCATGGGTCTTTACAAATAGAAAAAGCTGTAAAACTTAAATGTGAATACAGTTAATATTTGTTCTCCTTGTTCCAAGGCCGCCCAGCGAGCGAATTAGTCTTTACCGGGCCTTATGTTTGAAAAGTATATAAAAACACGCCAATCCCAATCCTCAATGTGTCCTATAGATTCATCCCTTTCTAATTAATACCAGACCTATTTTCTGCCCACGTTAATATTCCAGACATGTAACCCAGCAGTTATTTGAAGGTTTACCAGTGGTCAGGGGCAGATCTACTGTGGTGGCATGTGCCACCCTAAAATAAACTCTTGCCACCCCTACTGCCACCCTAATTTTGCATATGGCAGTGATGTTTATTAAAATAAGCTAGCATTAAGACTTTAAGCCTAGCCGCATTTAACCTTGAATATAAATTCTAAACCTAAATATACTGCATAATATTACATCAAAACATGTAATAGCATCAATAGCTTTGTTTCTTGTTTTCAGTAGGAACAGACAGTGCAGATTTCTGACATTTTGTGTAAATTTAGTCATGTAAAATGTTATTATTTCTAATGAAAAGAGTGAATCTTAAGTTAGACTTGTATTTCAAATTCATGTTGTGTAGCTTTCTGGATTTTATATTTATAGGGCTACATGCTTATTTGTCATATATGCCACACAGTGCATAAAATGTAACTGAAATGTTTAATTATTTGACCAATAAGAAAGTTAGAGACTTTAATTACTGGATTTGATGTATTTTAACGATATTTTGTACATATTATAGAGGCACCCAAACCCGCATATGCCATATGTGCATATGTGTAAAGAAATTGCTATTTCCATGCCACCCTGTAATTGGAGGCGACAGGACCAGCCTTATCAATGTTGTTAGTCTCATCTCAAACCTTCTAATGACTCAAGTGGCCAACACAGAACAAAACAAAACAAAAACGAAAAAACACCCCAAAAACCAACACAGTGCTTTATGATTTTACATCGGTTATAAATACACCGGATGCTATCAGAGAACTGATTTCTGTGTATACAGTGGGACTTCATTTTAGTAGAAATATTTTTTTTACTTTCCCTCACGCCCAAAAAAGGAAAAAAGAAACATCTCTATTTTCTTAAATCTTGCAATTGTGTAAATTATTCAAATCAGCTTTTAAATAACGTAACCAAAAGGTGGGGGAAAAAGTAAAACGCCATCTCTGATCTAGAGCCAGCCTTTGTTGTCTGTTTGGACTCTGGACAGATCTAGCGCCTGCGCACTTGGAAGTTTGTCTGCGTGTCATGTTGAATGCTAAAACAGGATAGTCAACATGTCCACCGCGACGGCTCAACAAAACAATAACGAAGAGCCCGGGCTTCAGGGTACGTACCGTCCTCGGGTTTTCCCGGCTCCACGTCGTAGTCGTTACTTTACATGTTCGTAATGGACGCTTGTGTGTGTGAAAAATACCGCTACTGCGAAGGTTTTATTGTAAAAGTTATATCGAGGGTGGAATTTCCTCGTCGACTGGGAGGGGCGGGGGTATGTTGTTTGACGTCACCTCAAATGAGCCAATAGCGTCTTAGAAAAGCTTTGATGGACGCGTTACTGGCCAATCATGTACAAAGATTGAAGCTAGGTGGGCTTCAATAGCAACGAAAACAACTTTGAGGCAAAACACTGAATATTTTGGGGAATTTTTGTAACTTCCTTTTTGTTAAATTATTATTTTCCTATAATGGGCCGTATATTTTTGTGTGGGCAAGCTACTTCTTTACTCAAAAGCCCTTTGCACTTTTGATTATACATCAAATCTAACCGAAGGCAGTGGTCGCAATTTTTACCCAACTGCATGCAGGCAAACAGCTAAAAACATTTAAAACAACACTTAAGGTGTGCTCGCACTTCAAGCGACTAAAGCGCCATCACATTAGCTCTCGGGATGTTCTTCGTCATGCGTGGCAGCACCACAGCTGGAACAGCGACATGTCTGGGCAAACTGTCTCACCCTGCGCTCTCTGTAGTTATGCAAGACCTCGCATGGGAGCAACACTGATGGCAAATGCTTCTGTAAATGTGCAATCTATTATTTTTTATGTCCATCCGCGAACCAAACAAATACACCATGCTTTGTTTTCGGGAAAGGGCGTCTCACGCTGTCACGTTGTGCGCTCACACAAACCCGCAGGCTCCGAGAGATTACGCAACACCCTTCCGTCTGCTGATTAAAAAAAAGAGTGCAGGCTGTTTATGGGGCAGTGGTACAAAGAAATGCGTGCCATCATGGATGCGGTGCACAGGCGGTTCATTTGAATTCGCAGAATCAGCGGTGCAGAAAATGTAGGTCAGCTGTTTCCATTTGAGGGTGTGTCTCTATGTGCTGTGTAATCAGCTGCGAGGTTTGTGCCTTATCACAGCAAGCTTACCTTCCTTGTGTCCTCTTGATCTTTATTTTACAAAGGGTCCTGGGTGGAGCTGGAGCTAAATGGGAATACAGGGGCCCAGGGGAGGCAGACCAACCTGCTAACACCACCTGCTGCAGACCAAATAAACGCAAATGCTGGTATGAGTCAAACTCTGCAGACCTTGGAAGTGGTGCCTGAAAGTGATGAGACCCTAATTGGAGGACTAGAGCATGTGCCATCGTCCTCCTCTATCCACAACGGGGACATGGAAAAGATCCTCCTGGATGCACAACACGAATCCAGCCCAAGTAACTCCTCCTGCGATAGGTAGGAAGAAAAGTCATTTTTTGGTCTTCAAGGCCTTATATGTGTGTTTGTTATTGAGAAGTTTTTTTTCTTACTCCAAACATGTTGATTAAGCCCTCACAGGCCACCAAGTCCAGAGCAGGATGAGGGTCAGATTACATTTGATGTGGAAATGTCCAGCCCAAGAGGTAGTCAGGTAAAGCTATGTATTCAGCTCTAAAGTTTAAGACCCTTTAAAGTCTTTTTCATTGATCTAATCGCTTCATCTTTTATATTTGCAGTCAGAGGAAGATTTTGCAGAGAAGGACAGAGAGGAAGACATTTTGATGAACAAAGAAGTAGACTGGGTTGCTGACTGGTCGAGCAGACCTGAAAACATTCCACCAAAGTAACCAGGCTTTCAGAGCTACTTACTGATATGTCAGGAGACTGTCTTTAGCTGTGTTTTTCTTCTTTTCTTTTTTTTAAATAACCTGTCATTTGATTTTTCCTATCAGAGAGTTCCACTTTAGGCACCCCCGACGTTCCGTTTCTCTAAGTATGAGAAAGAGTGGAGTCATGAAGAAAGGCGGCATCTTCTCTGCCGAGTTTCTCAAAGTCTTTATCCCTTCCTTACTCATCTCGCACATCCTGGCTCTTGGGCTTGGGTAAGTCAAAAGTCACGCATCTCTACCATTGCTGAGCTTTTTGTTACACCAGCTGGAGTTTTCTCAAGTGGCCCTAATTATATGTTTGTCTGCAACAATCATATCTAGAAGTTATAGCCGTTCAAAAAGACAGCTTCCATGTTATGTTTATAAAAGTGTATACCTTAATTTTAATCTATCACTTGTTATAAATGAGCATCATCATTTATCTAGTACTGTTGCAAAATATTATTGTTCTTTTCCTTTTTTCCAAACTGACTCAGTTTTGTTCCTTTTTTTCCCTTTTTCCTCTTTCCCAGAGTGTACATTGGGAAGAGAATTGCAACAGCCGCCACCAGCTCCTACTGAGTAGAAAATGAAGCAGTGCCTAGATGTTCTCCCTTCTCCAAGTCACTCAGCCATCCTCGTGTGGTCAAGCTCTCTCTCTGCATCTGTTGTACACCCGCACTTCCCTTCCGATCACCATTAAAAATTATATTGCATCGTAGATGTAGTCGTACACATGATGTAACCGTGGTTGCGCTCCATCAGATTTTGACCGAGGACAACACTGTACACACAGTTGTCACAAATTTGAATGCAGTAGGTAACAAAGTCTGTTCCGCCTGAAAAGTATTCGTCGTCTGTTCGACTAAAAAATACGAGACAAGAGAATTTCAGATGAAGTTGCTTCAGGGTTTTAGTTTCTTTACTTGCCTTGTTGTTAAGTTACAAGAAATTGGACTGCGTCTGTCCTCTGTTGCCTTCGTAATTAATATCTGCAAGAAACTAATTAATCGGCTCTGGGAACAAAAGGGACTTGAATCGCCTTAACTTATTGAGCTTAACATTAGAGGTGCAGTGAAAGCGTGGTTGTAGTAGGGGGACGGGGTACTGCACTGTGGGATCAGTTTTTAAATTCCACACATTTTTAATAATAGAAGTTATATCTTTTTGACCGCAGAGGGTTTAAAAGCTTTTTTGTTCTGAAGGTTGGAAAGCGTAAACATTTATCTTGTATGTAGCTCCAGAATTTTACAGAAATAGTTGGAATATGCTATAATAGTGGCAACCTAAAGGCTGGAACGCAGTATACCAGGCCATATGCTATTTTTATTTGTTTTGTTGCCTACATATCTTCTTCTTTAACACATAATATAGCATCAGTGGCAAAGTGCCAAATTTGTATGCTTCACCACTGCACATCGGTGATTTATCTTGAGACTTTTTTTTTTTTTTTTACATTTTCTTATATGTTTAGGTATTTAAAGATGTAGATGTGAAAAATTAATTTAAGCTGTGATCTGCCCCTTGTAATAGATACTTTCCGACATTGTATAATCTGTTTATACAGTGATACTAATGCGTATTATATCTCATGCATCGTGGCAGTGTAAGTAATGTGTTTTTGCTGTCGTTTAATTGAAGCTTCAGTGGCAGAAAGGATCGCCACGGAGGAGGAAGAAGGGGTTTCTAGGGGGGTCTCGTTTAAAAGTGTTATCAGATTTTAATCTGGATTTCACTGTACAGTAATTTCATCTAGCGTACAGTGTCTGTGTACCTTTTAAAGAAATTATTTTCTGGAGAAAATGCATGCATTTCTGTATATTGATGCTGATATGCTGACTGGATTATTCTGTCAGTGTCTGTAAATGGATCAGACCATAACAATATGGAAAAATTGGCTATAACTTACAGTATTGGCTGTTGGCTGTGTTGGTTTGGAAGCACTCGTACTAATTCCTAAACTGTGCATGTGAAAACAGATTTATGTACAGTTGATAAGTGTGCAATACTTGGAATTTTTGGAATATAAAGTTTGTACTGTATACAGTGGCTGATGTGAAAAGAAAATACAAAGGAAGTAAATAGAGATCCATAGAATTGAATTCATTTTTCAAGTATAAAAGGCACATATCATCATAATGGGCTTTCTGCACAGCTGAATAGTGAGCAGTGTGTTAAAACTTGAATGGACTTTGTACTGAATACAGAGGCTGAAACAAATGCAGCTGCTGTCTTTGGAAGTCATTTACATTTCATCACCATTAAACAAAGCACTCAGCGTAATAAGGATGAAAGTGAATGTGTGTGAATCCAAAATAAAATGTCTGTTGCTTCCTCATTTGTTGTTAGTAGTTCATTTAAAGAGGTTTCAGATGATCTTCATGAATGTGGACGTTTTAATTTTTATAAAAGATAGGGTTATAGTTGTGCTTTTTATTAGCATTTCTACTCTTTAGTGCACTGTTAATAACAGCGGTGAAGAAACACACTGTCAGATAGTTTGGAAGATGTCATACAGTATAAGGTCTGTAGATTTACTGTAAAGATGATAATTATTTTAACCCTTCCTGAATTTGTAAGTTTGCTCACTTACATAGAAATGGAAGGAACAAGGTAGTCGTCCAAGACGGTATGGTACATGGCCCCAGTGGCCCTTCAATGAGATGAAGTAATCCTGTACTGTCAGCAGAAACACAGCCCCAAACCATAATGTTCCCACCCCTGTACTTGACTGTGGGGTTGGTGTTCATTGGATCATACTCTGCTTCCTCAACCATGCCAAAATGCTGAATTTTGGTTTCATCTGACCACAGCGCTTTCTCCCAAATTTTCGCTGACAAACTGGAGAACTTCAGACGAGTCTGTACATGAGCCATGGGACATAAGGAGGGGGACATAAAAATGAGATACTCTTCATATTTGTTGCAAGTAAACAAACTTACAAACATAGCAAGGGATCAAATAATTATTTCCCCCACTGTAGCTCTACTGGTTATAGTTATCAAAAGTTTATCCATACAACAATCAATGCATGGTATGTCACAAACTGTAAATCCAGTGCCAAAATGCTGTTGTGAGAAGAGTAGCCTTTCATATGAGCAGTTGTATAAACTGTTCAACTTCTAGATCAGGAGATTAATCTTTTTGTTAAAGTACTCCTTTTATCCCCTGACGTGTCCGTCTGATCTAACAGGTTGTGCAAAACATATTTCGCCTTCAAACTGCATGTATCACATCAGGACAGAAACATGGAGCTAAAGCAGAGCAGGGCGGGGCAGTGCGCATGCGCCGTTCCTCATTGTGGCCCTCCTCTCCTTCGAGCTCGTCTGGGTTTCAGGGACCCGTTATAGGAGTGAATCAAGGTCTACGAGTGCGAGACAGAGGTACAACTTGTCGTTTTAGGCTGCTGTTTTTAGGCCGCACGCTGCGAACTTGACTTCATATATAGAGACATTTTCAGACAGAGGCATTGTTCTCTCAGGGCGTCGACTGGCCAACAAGCGGAGCATCCATTCATCCTTTCATTGGCAGCTGAGGTTTTCCAGTCTCGCTAGCTAGCGTTAGCCAAGAGGCAGGGGGCACCCGTGTCGGAGAGAGCTTCAAAATGTCGGGGTACCAAGGAAAGAAGAACATCCCACGAATTACAGTGAGTTTTGTTTCATTTTATCATATCTGTCCTGCAGTGGAGGTGTATAAAGGGTGTATAAAGGGTACGGTGAGCTTCACAGTTTAGACCAAAAGCTAGCCAGCGCTTATCCATCCATTTACACTGACGCTGTCAACAGCAGCAGCAGCAGCAGCAGCCCAGCTCCACATACCGACAGCCTGGGATGGTAACCAGCTAGTGTGCAAGCCTTTTAACAATTCCTCATTTGAAATCTGGGTCTTACAATTTTTTCTCTGTAATGAATACTCAGATCAGGTCACTTAGCTGCCATTATTAGCCCTTATTCTCTCAGAGCATCCTCAGCCTGAAGGGTGTAGTTAACAGGTTTAGACACAGATTCCCTCACTGTGTCGTTTTTCATCTTCCACCTTCTATCCTCCAGCATACACCATGCCTGCCCTCTTCAGCGGACTATGTGTTTTTTTGTTGTCTTTCTTTCTTGTTTATGGATTTAAAAAAATCCTGATTCATATTCAGTCAAATATTGCTACAGATCCTGATTTGCTAATATACATTAATTTTGCTTTGATTTATGGTGCAGCTCTTCACCCAGACCACACATAATCATTAGGGGGAATGCAGCAGGCTTGCTGTGATAGTTAAAAGAAGTAAAACCTCACTCGCAAAGTAGGTCATTGCACAGCTCCCATCCAAACCCTATGCTTTCATCATGCAGCAAGAGGGCTGATTCTGCAGCATATAGACTCAGCAGCTTTATGTTTGATCACTTAATCACATCAAAATCTTTTATGTACTGGCTGTGTTTCATACAGATGGTTGTCAGGTCCTTCGCAGGTCGATCCAGGGTCATAAACACACGAGTCTGACATCCCAGACACGCCATGCAGACAGCAGCAACTCTACAGCCAGCCTTTCCCAGGCTTTCACACTCAGTACAACACCACCTATTAGTCTGGAGTGAATGAACTAGATAGTTTCACTCTGCAAAGCTTTAAACAAAATGCCAAGGTTAGTCTGAAAAGCACTAGCTGAATTTGTTCAAAGCACACTAAAGCAGGAATAATAGCAGTCCTTTGAAGAATGTGCCTTAAGAGTTTCACAGCAACTTAACCTCTGCTAGCACCATATTGAGGTGCAGTTGTTTGTCGCACAGCTTGATTTTGATTGAGGCTGTGTGTTCTTTTATAGAGTTTGGCTCTTGTATAGGTCTTTTTTAAAATTTTCTTTGTAATCTCTAACTGTGTCATATCCATCAATATCCAGAATTTGTCTGTTAATAGTTGATTCATGGTTATTACACAGTAATATTAAAAGAGACATGCCAACGACTTTTGTCTTTAATTAAAAAACAAAACACAAAACTAAGATTAGGGTCAAACAAATGCTTTTTATTTAAAACAATGACTTAAAGTTATGGTATATCCTCTGATATAGTTTTCCTTTCAGACACACCAAGGTGAAACAGAGTACCCTTTTTGTGCATTTTAAGGATGCGTTGCCAGGAGGGAAGTTCCTTAGCGCCATCTGTTGGACAAACTATGCAAACAAATAATTGAAGGGTGTTTCTTTCATCTCCTCTTTGCTTTTTAACGTTAACATATCCGTGATTCTAAATGCTGAAACGATGGATCAGCAAATAGCTAATATTTCCGATAGTTTCGATTCTGGCTACCCAATATATTTGTGTGGTAATTGTCTGATAATTGATGCATAAAAGATGAAGATATTGCTTTTTCTTATTTTGGAGTTTATGGTAATGATCAGCATCTGATATATGATTTAGATGTTGGCACATTCATTTTGGAAGTTGAGGACTACATTTGATATTGTATGTGTATACCGCAAGCTCAGTACACTAACTGCTGACCACTCGGGCACAGAAAGGACACAGGTTAAATGACCCACTTATGTCAGCGCAGTGGTTTGTGAGATCATGTCAGCCATGCCCTGTACACTTAATGCTTCCTGCAGTCTGTAAAGCTGGACACACTGAGTGTTTCCTGCTGTGAGTTTTGCTGCAAAACGTTTTTTTTATATCTTCGGAGACCCCAGAAAGCCTTTAGGAGAAGTAGGCCAGCCTGTTATGCTTTCCTTTCATCTCATTCAGGTGGAGGTAATTGTGTCACTCAAGAGCCTGCGCTAAGAATCTTTCCCTCTCTTCAAATGATGTGTCTGTTATGCATGAATAAGTCTACTAAATTAATCCTAGTCATCATGTAGACAGGTTGAGGATTGGTATGGATCAAACCATGCTTTGCATGAGGCTTTGAGCAATCTGGGAAATATTCACAGCTTTAGCTTCGGTCACTCTTCTTTTCTAAAACTGTGTTTGTGGGTAAAAGATTTTCTGTTGAGTCATGGATCAAACTGCTGGCTGCTGGAAGTTAAAATAAAATATTTATTGCTTGGTTTAGCTAATGCTGAGAAAATGCTGTCTCATCCTTTCAGAGTGACCGCCTTCTGATCAAAGGGGCGAAGATAGTGAACGATGATCAGTCGTTTTTGGCTGATATCTACATGGAAGATGGAGTCATCAAGTAAGTCCTTCTTTTTCTGCTTTTGCTTTTTGTAACTTCATTCACTTCTTTATGCCTGATTTTTTTTTCTTTTTGTTTGTCTCATTGAGGCAAATTGGAGACAACCTTATTGTTCCTGGTGGAGTTAAAATCATTGAGGCTCATGGAAGAATGGTGATGCCCGGGGGTATTGACGTGCACACCCGATTCCAGATGCCTGACCGAGGCATGGTGGCTGCGGATGATTTCTACCAGGGTACCAGGGCGGCCCTGGCTGGGGGGACAACCATGATCAGTATGTGACACATCAGACAGACTTGCTCGTGTATTTTCAGCCAGTTTACACATACAGCGATGTTGTTTTGGGGATTATGACATTGCAGATGTGAATGCCATCAAGCGTATGATTTAATTTAACAGTTTGCTTGTGCACATGAAATCAGACCTGCTTGTTTGTATTCTATAGTTGACCATGTGGTGCCGGAGCCTGGCGTCAGCCTGGTTGCTGCCTT